AACTCGAGCTAAACCCATCAAAATTCCTGACGGCACCTAAACGCAGTTGGTGGAACCAGTCTTGCGCAGGTCCTCGCAGAGTCGTCAAGAATGCTCGACATTGAACAGGATCATTGTAACGATGTAGCACTGCCATATTCTTGAAACTTCACAGATGTCGAGAGGGATCAGTCGACCCATCATACCAAATATTCAGCTCTCTATATCCTTGTAGAAAATTGACATCCAAATGTTGCGAGAATGGGTGTCCTCTCGAGCTCCCAGTTTTTCTTCCCTCCGCTCGAGCCTGCAAATCTTGCACTTGAGCCATCAATTGTTCTAGAGTATCGTTCCTCGCCTGTGGATTAATAGTTCTGACAAAGGACTCTTTCTCGTCCGCCCTCCTATTCTGCCTCTCATTGGACTGGGCTTGTTGCTCATGCTCAGTGGGTGGTTGTTCAATCCGAGGTTGCTCAACCTTAGGTTGTTCGACCCTAGGTTGCTTGACCTGTGTCTGTTTAAGTTGGGCCGCCACCACTTCCACAAGCATCTTTTGCATTTTGCTCCTCGTCATGGTCAATGTTTGTTCCTCGACCTGGGGCGGTGGCCTTGTCCCTAGCTCCACTCCTGCTAGTCTCCCCAGGCTCAGGGATGTTTCTGTCGACTCTTGCCCATCGACTACCGTGCTTGCTCCTTTCACCTGGATAGGTCCCCCTTGTGTTAACACTGGGATCTTTACCCCAGTGGGGTAATAGGCGTTTCTTCTCCCACATGCACTCCCGACGGCGTGTGTCCTCCAAACGGTGGGAAACCGAACACCTGAAGTGGTGGTCTGGGGCTAGGAATCCACGGGGGCCTCTTATATGTCCATGCTCCCCTAAAATCCTCGTTCAAGTTCCTCTACAACCCTTTCTTCTCAGCCATCTCAAAACAAATTGGAACTAGGTGCAAAGCTCTTACTTCCTTCAAATACTCCCCACAGACGGCGCTAATTGATGAGTCTCCTTCCAGATATGGAGTGAACCGGTGGTAATGAGCTCTGATCTGTTCGAACCGTCTCTAAGTCGCCTTCAAACCGCTGTAAACACCTGCAAGAACTCAACACCGGAAGTGTTTCTGGTGATGAGCTTCTGACGCTCAAGTCAGTATGAGGGTGATGAAGTGAGCTCTGCTTAGTAGGAGCAGTAGCTGAGAGAAAATTAATAGAGAGAGTGAAAATTATGGTTTAGGGTTACCTCAGCTTTCCTTTATATAGGACTAAAAACACTTACACGAAAGGTCCAAAATGCCCTGGCCGACTTACACGAAAGGTCCGAAATGCCCTAGTCGATTCACATTCCATCCACCTCTTAGTAAACATCCAAATTCCTTCATATCTCATGTAGATTTATCCCTGTTTAGAGATCTCTTTGCACCATACTTAAGTGTATGTGAGTCGTCGGAGACCTTGAAGTATAAAAGGTCAACTTCGGGTGACGTCAAGTCAACTTAGGACATATGTGGGCACTCAGGGTGTACCCTGCGCCCATTCGTCTTTTTGGTGATAGTCGACTTCTTATAGTCGACTTAGACGATGTCGTCTTGGAGGCTGCCTCGTAGGAGGCTCTCTACTGGAAGTGAATATACGAGAGTCGACTCTAACACGGTCGACTTAATGAGTTCGACATTGCTGATCGCGGATCGAGTAAACGAAACTTGAACTGATACCAAATACGTGGCTATATCACTCACCAACTGCAATTTTTTTCTTTCTTTTGCCTCTTTGGATCGGATGACGGAGGGGTCATAAAATCAGCCGCCTTCTTCTTTTTCTTCCTGCCAAACCTCTCCTGCACCCTTTTCACCATTGAAGAGGGTTGTGCTTTCTCCGGTTGTTAGCTCGAGCTCTGAGCATCTGGGTGAGGATCATCCAACAGCTCTTTTGAATCGACCCATCTCATCAAACCAGTATACTCAACTACCAGGTCTACGAGTCGGTCCAAATCTTCAAACTCGTTCACAACAGGTTTGTTTTCAACTACCATCAAAGCCTATCTTCCCTCCTCCTCTTTTTCCTCCTCCTCCTCCTTGTCTTTTTCCCCCTCCTTTCCACCCTCCTTTTCCCCAATCCTCTTTTTCCCCCTTTTTTTTTCTTCTTCTTTCTCCTCATCTTTTTCCTCAGTCTCACAACAATCATCAAAACCATCCGCCAGCCTCATCTTTCTCACTTCTTTCTTCTTTTTATTTTTTTTTATTCTTTCTTTCCACATTTCAATTTTTTTTTCAAAGTTTGTCGTTCTCAAGACAAACCATGGCAAACAATCGGCTCTCAAACGGTCCCTCCCTGTACATGAAAGAAAACAAAAATTTAAAGGAAAACATAAATTAAAGATACTTGCACCTATGAAAATATACTAATGCTAACACAAAAATTCTCGACAAAAATTAAAGGAAAACCTGGGCTTCAACAAATGCACGCTCCTCTAAAAGAGGCGACACTGAATACACCTGCAAAAAAAAAAAAAAAAAAAAAAATCACAATGATTTAGGTACAAAACCGATTAACCAAAAAGATAAAAAGAAGAAGTAGAAATCACATATTACTATAGAATTATATAAATTACCTTATGCCTCATTATTTTTTTAAAGGTTTGTAAAGACCCTTCAAATGTAGATGGCATTGTCCACCCTGTCCATCGAAATAGACGGAGAATCGCCTCGAGCGTGGAACGTGTACCCAGAGAAGGCACACGCTCGTACAACCAAGCCTACACGCATACACATGATGTCAAAATTACAAAATCTTACAAATTATTATTGTATTAAGACAATAAAACACATATATACATATCATCAGCCCAACGACACATCCGTCAAAGTAAGCTCGGTCTCTAGATTCACCATGGCGAACAAGCTCTGCAAGCAAGAATTTATGAGTCGCATCTCCCCATGCGTACTCACAAATTTGGCTCACATACTCCAGGTAAGGATAAACAAACCTAGGGATCGAGTAACTAGAGCAAGGAAACAAAATGCAACTAAAAACTAACAAACTATACATCTCGATGAAGTCGTCTACACGACCTTCATCAACAGCAAACTTTTCTAACAAATCTACGACATGCTTTATTTTCTAAAGTTTTTTACCTACTCGACCCCAACCGTCGAATAGGGCTTTCGACTCTAAAGAAAGGTCTAAGTCTACGCTTAGACCCCCCTTGTCGTAGCCCCATAATTATACAAAACTCGACGGGGTCGAAATCAAGAAGAAAATTATCACCAACAACAAATGCATTCAAGTTTACCCTATATGTGCTAACCAGGGCCTCGACTCTACTATGCAAAGCAGCTACATCAGGCATATTCACACAAAAATAAAAAGGGCTCCGTTGAAGAGCCTCTTTGTGCTTATCCGAGAGCACAACAGTAGTTCTATCCATCACATCCTTAAAATATGATGGGGCACACCTGCATCTTAGTTCGGTGCCCTATCACAAACAAAGAGAATTTTCAAACATAAGAAACAAAATTCAATTACAGAAATTAAATTACATCCCTAATTTCAAATTCACGGAAATTCACAGAAATTCAGACATTCAATAATTTCGCATTCACATAAATTCACAAAAATTAAAAGAAAAGCCCTAATTCACAGAAATTCAATAATTTCGAATTCAGAGAAATTCACAAAAAAAAAAATTACACAGAAAGACCCTAATTTCGAATTCAAGCCAAGACCCTAATTTCGAATTCAATCCCTAAATTGAAAAGAAAACCCTAATTTTTGAATACACACATATTCACAGAAATTCACAAAAATTCAATTACAGACAAAGACCCTAATTTCGAATTCAAACCCTAAATTGAAAAAACCTTAATTTTTTAATTCAACCCCTAAATTAAAAAAAACCTTAATATTAGGAACAAAGGCTACAAATCAGAAATTACCTATGAGCTTGGTAATGCCTTCGTGGGTGTCGAGGTGGACGGTTTGCATGGAGATTTCTTCTTCGAGCCGGCCATTGCTGATGACAAAGAGAGAGACAAAGATGGCGGGCGAGTGACAGAGGGAGAGACGGAGATGGCGGGTGATGCTGATGAACGACAAGAGATGGCGAACAGAGAGAGAGAGAGAGAGAGAGAGAGAGAGAGAGAGAGAGAGAGCAGAGATGGCGATGGCGATGCTGAAAAAACGAAGAGAGAGAGAGAGAGAGAGCAGAGATGGATGTCGAAAGAGAAGAGAGCGGCAAGGAGAGAGAGAGAGACTTAAAAATAAATTAAAGGCAAATAATAAATGAATATTAATAACCTTAGTTTATATAGGGGGGGTGAAATTGAAAGAATAAATTAGGGGAAGGGAGTGCAGAAGAAAAATATTAGAATGAAGACTGATTTGGAAGTTGAAAAGAGCAATAGAGATTTAACTTGAAGTTTCCGTTATATATAAGAGGATAATACATACCTATTTTGTTGATTAATTTTTCATTTTAGTTTGAAAAAGATTGTTTGAGACCTTTTATTTAAGAAATTTAACACATCATAATTTTGTGAATTTTTAAATAAAATTAATAACACAAATTAAATAAGATTTTTCATAATAAAAAATAAATTATGATTTGAAAGAATTATATATGCTATACTAGTAGTAGTATTATATGAAAGTATAGGAGTAGGACTATTAGAGTTGTATATTAATTAATATAATGCGGACAATCTATATGAGGTTGGGTTGAGACTTGAGATCGATTCATTGAAGGGTCGCGTCTGAGGTCTAACTCCGATCTCATCCTCCTCACTAACTATCCACCTACCAACCCAAAAGCGCGCATCTCCTTAGATTATTGTTCAATTCCTTTTGATCTTCTTCGATCAACCCTTGCCTACCACGGTAATAATCATGGCTTCCTTTTCTTTTTCT